TTTGCCGCTGAGCTAAATCCCCAGCCCCTATTTATCTTTTTGAGACAGGGTCTCGCTATGCAGTTCAGGTTGGCCTTGAGTTCACTTCCTAGCCCAGGCTGGTCTTGAACTTGCAACGATCCTCCTGCCTCAGCCTCCCAAGTGCTGGGATTACAGGTGTGCACCAACACACCTGGCCGCCCAGCTTCCTAATGCTTTAAATACAGCCACAGCAGTGACCTTCACTCCTTGTGGGGGGCAGGGCCTAGAACCTGAGGCCCTGTGGTCCTCAGGCAGCTGTGGCAACAACCACGGGAGCCTGAGTCATGTAAGGACTGAGCAGGAAGGTTTGAAGGTCTGTGATTCGCCTTAACAATTGCACCTATTGCTTGGAGAATCCCAGATTCTGTTGCTTGCCAGCATGGGGATCCCTCGCCACCTCCTTTATTATTTATTTTTTCTTTAGTTGTTTTTTTTTTAGAACACTATTCAGCCATGCTGCCCTTCCTGCCCCCCCTTTTTAAAAATAAGTCAATCCAAGGACACGCCCCTCAGAAAAGCCCCTTTGCTTGGCTGGTTGCTGCTGTGTTTAAAAACGGAAGCTCAAAATGATACTGATCCCAAATGATACTGACCTGTAATTCATCAGCCGGGTGTTTACAGCCTCCACCCCGCCCAGGCTACGCCCCCTCCACCTACCCCCGCTCCCGCGGCCCTGTTTACGTGTGTGTGTGTTTCCAGCCTCCGGACTCCAGCCGTGGAGAAAACAGCACGTGGAGATGGGGGGTTTGGAGAGGGCCCAGGATTAGAAATCCTGAGAAAGAGGAAGAAAAGACAGGTGTGGGAGCTCAGGAGAGGCACACGTGCGCAGAGTTAGACAGGGCAGATGAAGACCAGGGAAAGGACCCTGCAGGCCAACTAAGAGGTAGCCGTCGTCATTGTCCTCCTGGGCTCTTACTTATTGCATGCTTTCTATGCAGTCCCACTGGGACAGTCTGTTAAACAGTCTTGGTATTGTGCCCATATATATATATATATTTTTTGTCTTTTCAAGACAGGGTCTCGCTATGCAGCTCAGGCTGGCCTTGAGCTCACTTTGTAGCCCAGGCTGGTCTCGAACTCGCAGCAATCCTTCTGCCTCAGCCTCCCTAGTGCTGGGATTACAGGCGTGTGCCACCATGCCTGGCATATTGTGCCCATTTTATAGAGCAAAATCCTGAGGCTCAGAGAAGTGATTTTGACTATTGATGTCAGTGCTAATGCTTAGATCTACAGAGAGAGGAGGGACATGTTCGCACTCAGAGGATGGGAGTGACACACAGAGGCTGCAGGGAGAGGTGAGGAAAGGAGACTAAGGCAGTATGTGTGTGACGGGGCAGCATGGCCACTGCGGTGACCACGGGCCTGGTCCAGTCCTGGCTTTCCCGCTTTCAGCTGTGTGACTTTGAGTAAGTGATGCACCTCTTTCGGCCTATTTTCCCCATTTCACAAAAAAGGAGGTGATTACAGATCCCCTGTTATAATGCTATTCTGACAATGACAGATGACAATACCGGAGAAGTCATTAAAATAGGTAGATGGTATTTTTTTTTGTCTTTTGTCTTTTTGAGAGAGGGTCTCGCTATGTAGTTTAAGCTGGTCTTGAGCTCACTTGTAGCCCAGGCTGGTCTCGAACTCCCAGCGATCCTCCTGCCTCAGCCTCCTGAGTGCTGGGATTACAGGCATGCACCACCACACCCGGCTCATTAGTTATTTTTAACACATTCCCACACTAAGTGTTAAACTTGTGGGAGAATGTCCCACACTGAGGCTGGTGCAAAGGCCCTGTGGTTGCCAGTGACTAGCATATTCAAGGAGCATCCAGGAGGCTAGTGTAGCTTAGGTGGATTGAGAGTGGGGGGGAGGAGAGAGGATGAAGGAGAATTACCACTATTTTCTGGGTGAGGAAACTTAAATCCGAGTGATGATGTCATCTGGCTCAAGTCAGAAGGAGCATGGGACCACAAGCTAGGGTTTAGCCTGTATGTTTCTCTTTTTTTTTGGTTTTTAGTTTTTTCCCCGTACCAGGAATCGAACTCACAACCTTGCATTTGCCAGGCAGGTGCTGTGCCACTGAGCTAAATCCCCAGCCCCAGAGCCTGTATGTTTCAAAATGACTTCTCTGGCCACTGGGTCAGATCACCCGGGATACCTGTGAAAAGTGGCTGATTTAGGTTCATCTGGTTCCACATCTACATAGTTCTGGACCTCTGCAGATGTGGCTGGGGTTTTGTGATTGTAACCTCTCCTTGGCCGAGTCCTGATGTGCTAAGCACTGGGTTGGGGTTTCATAGGGCCTAGGAAACTCCCACTCAATTTTCAGAGTGTGCCCAGTGTGAATGTTGAACAGATGAGCAAAGTAACAGTGAACGAACAAATGTGTATCACCAGCCTCTTTAAAAAAAAAAAGTTGCCCAGCCTAGCTTCCCCAACTTGGGATCTTCCTGCCTCAGCCTCCCAAGTAGCTGGGATTACAGGTGTGTGCCACTGTATCTGGCCCAGTGTAAGCTCTTAATGTTGAAAGGAGTAAAAGTCTACATTAGAAGCTACATTTAATTTCACATCCTGCTGTTGTGAAGCCCCCTTCAGTCAAGTGTTCCACTGACAGTACCTATTTATTTCCTTCCCTTTTTCACTGTTATTTTTTTTTTAATTTTTTTATTTTAAAGAATAAAAGAAGGATAACACTGTGAGTTATTGAAGGGTGTATTTCTTTTTGTCTTATTTGGGGGTGGCTCCCCAAATTGCAAGTTGGTGTCTCATCAATATTTGAAATTTGTTTTTGTGGTACTGGGGATTGAACCTAGAGCCTTCAAATTCAACTTCAGCCCTTTTATTTTGAGACAGTATCTTGCTAATTTTTTTTCTCTCTTTCTCTTTCTCTTCCTCCCTCCCTCCCCCTCTCCCCTCTCCCTCCTTTTCCCTTCCCTTCCCTCCCCTCCCTTCCCCTCCCCTTTCCTGTTCTATTTCCCTTTCCTTTCCCTTCCCTTTTTTAAAGGCAGGGTCTCACTGTGTAATCCAGGCCGGTTTTGAATTCACTATGTAGTCCAGGCGGGCCTCAAATTTGTGACAATCCTCCTGCCTCAGCTTTCCAGGTGCTGGGATCACAGATGTAGGCCACCATGTCTGGCTCTTGCCAAATTTCTGAGTTGCCCAGGTGGGTTTGAATTTATGATCTTCCTGTCTCTGCCTCCCAGAGTACTGGGATTACAGGAATGTGCTACTGTTACAG